CCGGACTGGCGCTGGGCGGTGGGTTGCTCTGGTCGTGCCAGGGCTGGGGAAGCCCGTGGGAGGGGGCTGCGGGCGCGTAGAACCGCCGTCGGGACAGGTGCACTGCTGCCGGTGTCTGGTTCCTGCTCGCGGCCGGCAGGGACGCGCAACAGGTCTTGCGCGGGGAAACTCTGCGCCCACTTAGGGTTCTCCCTTGCCGGTGGCGAGCTTGAGTCCAGGTTTGGGGTGCTACCTCCAGCAGGCCGGTAGCTGCCGTCTTGGAAGGAGTGGTTTGTCCCCGGCGAAACCGTGTAGTTTCGATCTGATGTCACCCGCTTTGGTATGCGCTAGGTAGCGATAAGACGTTGAGACAGCATACAACCTGCGAGTAGTAGGTCGGATATTTTCAAGCTGTATTATTTAAGATACCTTTGAAGAAACTAAGTTCTTAACATTCTTTAGTAGTATGAGTTAACTTCCAAAAATAACGCAAAATACCCCTACACATGAGCAGTCAGATGAATTCGTAAACTAAAATTAGTAAAGATCCGTGGATTTAGCACAAAAAGTAACTTTTCCTATTAATTTCCCCATGTGCTCTGAAGTATTGTTATTTTCTCAATTCCTTTATATTAACTTGTGTGTTACTTTGAAAAGCTCAAATTTCCCCAAACCAGTTAAAATCCCCCTTTCCTTTTGTACATTTTAACCTTTTTCATCATAAAGTGACATTTGCTCATCAAACAATAACAGGAATACCAAAATGTGAAAAGTAAAAATCTTCCCTTAAAAAAAAATCACCTCGTTACTTTAAATATTATATAGAGGTAGGATTTTTTTTTGTATTTATTTTTTGTTTGAATTGTTTATTCATTATATCCAGAAGGTATAATATGCGCCTGAAGATTCTTAACTCTTAACAGGACTTTTTCTGACTGGCAGAAATTAGCAGTTACATTTAGTATTGAGTTGATTTTTTTTTAGGAAATATAGTAATCTTTGTAATCTTCCTTTTTTTTTAAGAAAAATTTAATTTGTACTTTTTTGAGCTTTAATTGATGAAGTACAGTCTAAACATAAAACTTGACCCAAAGATTTAGATTAAAAGGAAAATTTTGCTATGTTTTTAAAGTAAGATCACATTATTTACCTTTTCTGGGGCTTCCTTTCCTAGGAGGAAAGACTTTGTTTCCGTATTACACAGAATATCACTTTGTTCCTGAAGTGTGATATGTGGTACTTGATACTCAAGATAACACAGTTTTAAAGGGTTATGTCAATTATGGAGAGAAATGTTTTCAGTAGATACTCATAGTAAGATGATTTAGAAGGAGCACTGCTTTTACTCTTAAATTATGGTATTGAGATTTTTGGGAATATTGAGAAATTTCCTTGAATATTACATTGTAGGGATGTTAGCATGAAATATTTATAAAATGGAAGTTGAAAATGTATATCTTTAAATGCTGCATTATGGGACCATCTTGAAATCTTACATAGAACAGTTCTTTCCCTAAATCCCATTTAATTTTTTAAGGTGATCCAAATGCTTAGGAACCACAGTTCCTTCTACTCCCCAAGTTAAAAACAAAAACAAATCAAAACAAAACAAACCCCATAGACATTAATTTTGCACTTCTTTGCTTTTAGCCCAATAGTTGTGCAACTCTTGACTACTTTAAAGTTCTTATAATGGTTGAAGTTTTTAATGCCATGAATATGCTTCACCTTAGATCATCATTGCCTAGTACAGACATTTAACTTGTTTCTAGGATTTTGCTATTGCAGAAAGTATATCTTATGTGCTGATATTTATACTTTTGTATATATACACTTATTCCTATATGACATATTCTTTTTTTAATATTTATTTTTAGTTTTAGGTGGATACTATATCTATTTTTATGTGGTGTTGAGGATCGAACCCAGTGCCTCCTGAATGCCAGGCGAGCGCACTACCACTTGAGCCACATATCCAGCCCCATGGCAAATTCTTTAAAATGAAAACTGGTGGGTCAAAGAGTATGTGCGTTTGAAATACACCACTAAATTTTTCCCAGAGACTACCCAGGAACAAATATAACAAATCTTGATGAGTTGCCTGAATTTTAATGATGGACAAAAAATTTGATCAATGGGATAAAACAGTATAATTTCTGGATGAAGAGTCAATATTGTAGAATTTCCCATTTTCCTCCTAGTTGATGGATAAAAGCAGTATAATTCCAAATAGAATTCCAGGGTGGTAGTGTAGAAAATTCAACATATTGGTCAGGGAGTTTACCTGATAAGTAAAATGATCAATAGCCAGGAAATTTTGGAAAAAGGAGGCCTTGTAAGAAATTGTAATTTGATGTAAATTCAAAGCCAAGTAGTATATCAGCTGAAGAACAGAGATGGACTTTTAATGCTTGTGTTGAGCTGCATTTATCAGATACTGTTCTATGTGCTTAATTACATTCTTACAGTAATCTTTTGAAGTAAGCACTGGGTTAAGAAATTGAAACAAAGTAACTTGCCTCTGTTCAGGTAGCCTATAAGAGGGAAAATTACAGTTATGAGGTAAATTTATAGTATAGATTTTTGAGGAAAGGATAGGTTATTCAGTAGTACTAAAACTGTTGATTATCCACTTTTTAAAATATTTGTTTTCTGCCTTAAAGGTCCACCCTTTCCCTCAACCCAAATGAAGCCTAAATTTTTTGGGGGGTGGGGTGGGGGAGGGGAGGAAGCAAACAAAATAAGTCACAAAATACTTGCAGAAAATATAGAGCACATTTTTTTTTTTTAAATATGCCTGGATTGGCAGGGACTTCTCTGCATGATATTGAATAATAAAGGGAAAAAAGCTTTTACATGCATGATATACATCTGAATTTGTGAACAAAATTTTGTTCAGTAATGCACCTGATACAAAATTATTTGAAAGTTGAAAATAGAAATTTGAGGGTGGTTCCCTGCTTTTTAAAAGAATTATCTAATTATGTAAGAAAATGCTTTGAATAATTATTAGGAACATTTTCATTGGTTGAATCATAGAAAGTGGTTGGATGAAGTAGAATTGGCTGCTGAATTTTCAAGCTATTTCTCATTGGAGGAAACAATAAAATTTAAGATTGTTATTATATATGCTTATTATTTTATTGTGTGCTTTAGTGTTTTTATGTCTCAGGGATAATTTTCTTCCCCAGTGGCTATGTCTGAAATTAAAATGTAGGTTAATATGGAAATGATTTATACCCGTTTTTACCATTATACTACTAATTTATAATCTCAAGAATCAATTTATTTTATCAGTTAAAGTACAATGGACTTTTTTCAATAGTTGAACATTTTTAAAAGTTAAGAACTGCAGAAAATAGCTAAGCTAATGAATAAAGCTAATTATGAAATCAGTATTTACAGTTAGAAATTGTTTCTTGAGTAACAGTAACAAAAGAGTTTTAATTTTGGTACTTAACAGATCAGTGCATATTTGCTTCATTCTGCTTTAAAAGTAAAATAAAGACTTACTGTGGTTTATGAACATTCACTTAATTGTGTCTGCCAACTTTTAATGGTCTTCACTGTAGTAATACTTTGATGAGTCTGCTCAGCTTGTACAATATTTTTCACTAGGATTACTTTTGTAGTGTTTTTGACAAAGCATTTAATTTATTAGTATACTTGGCATTTTAGATTCTTATATAGTTGTCGATAACTCCATTTTTTTAACTCTTAAACTTGTTTTTAGGATATTTATATAAGAGTTACTTTTCAAATCATACCGTGGCTTTTCTCCCAACTAATGTTTTCTTGTTGGGAGCTTGCAGACTGAAATTTTATTTCAGATTTAAGGAAGATTTAGGCTGCATATCAGTGATAGAGGTCAGTCATCCACACCAACAGATAATGAGGTTGAAAGCAATCTGTGGTTTTCAGGGCTATAATGCAGTATATATAGCACTGCTTCTGGTTTGGTTTGAAGGAAAAACAATTATAGTAGTTTCAGTCTTTTTTTTTTTTTCCCCATCTCTTTTTTTCCCCAATCCTGGAAACAATGTTCTGGCTCTGAGTTTTTACTTGCTCTTTAATCTTTTTTTTCTATTTAGAGACCAAACATAAACTCAGTACAGTTCTAAGAATAAAACTGAGTAGAAATAAGATAGATCACAATGCTGCCAAGGAAAATGTCTTTTAAAATAATAGTTTTTGTGAAAAATTTGGAAGCGTAACTGTTTCTTGACGTAAACCTGATGTGATAAAAATTTGATCTACTAAAAGATTAGGAATCTAGCTGTAAATTATTATGTGTAGTGTGACCATCTCTGACTGCTC